CCTTTAATGTTTCATGTAATAATGGCTTGGTGATGGTGAACTCCTTTAGCTTTACCTTGTCTAGGAAATACTTTATCTGCCCTTCCACTCTAAATGATAGCTTTGCTGGATAGAATAATCTAGGTTGTAGGTCCTTGCTTTTCATCACTTTGAATACTTCTTACCAGTCCCTTTTTGCCTGCAAAGTTTCTTTTGAGAAGTCAGCTGATAGTCTTATGGGAACTCATTTGTAGGTGACTTTCTGCTTTCCTCTTGATGCTTTTAAGATTCCTTCTTTATCTTTAACCTTTGCCATCTTAATTATGATGTATCTTGGTGTGGACCTCTTTTGGTCCAACTTGTTTGAGACTGTGTGTGCTTTCTGGACTTGTATGTCTATTTCCTTTGCCAAATTAGGGAAGTTTTCTTTCATTATTTTCTTCAAATAAGTTTTCAAATTCTTGCTTTTCCTCTTCTCCTTCTGGCATCCCTATGATTTGGATGCTGTTAGATTTGGAGACGTCCCAGAGTCTTTTTATACTTGCCTCATTCTTTTTTGGGGGGACTTTTATTTTCCCTTGCTGTTCTAGTTGAATGCGTATTTCTTCCTTATGTTCCAAATCGTTGATTTGAATCCCAGCTTCCTCACCTTCAGTGTTAGTTCCCTGTACATTTTCCTTAGTGTAAACTTCATTTCTTGCTTCATGTTGTTGCCGTACTCAATGGGCCCTTCGAGCATCCTTATCACTAGTGTTTTGAACTCTGCATCTGATGTGTTAGTTATCTCTGTTTCATTTAGGTCTTTTTCTGGAGTTTTGTTCTGTTTTTCATTTGAGCTATATTTATTTGTCTCCTCAATTTGGTAATCTTTCAGCATTGTTTCTGCATATTAGTTAGAGCAGCTTTGACTCCTTGTCCTATTAGTGTGGCCTATTGTAGAAAAGGTACCTGTAAACTGTGTGGGGCAGAACCTTAGTTAATCACCCGGATGGAGCAATCTGCTTCACCACTTTGTGGCTTTGAGTTGGCAGAGGGCTTGGTGAGGGAACAGTGCTGCTTCTTGGCTTCTGGGTGTTTGCCTGGCACTTGCCCCATTTCCAGTCACTTCATCCACTCATTATATGTGACTGGTGGTCTTCCAGCTCTTGCTGGTGCTGAATCCGAGTGCGTGGGTTTGCGAACATTCTAACACTCTGCAGACCCTTCCATTGGAGTCTCCTGAATATCTGGCAGTTTCTTCCACCACCTCACCCTCCACTGGTTTTTACAGGCAGAAGTTATGGGGATTTATCTTCTAGGCATTGGAACCCTGGGCTGTGCAGTTTGGCCTGGGGCTGGGATCACTTGCTCCCAATATATAGCCCTCAATTTTTATTACCATATATGAATGTGGACTGCCCATTCTTCCACTGCCACCACCTCTCCATGCCACATGGTGTCATCTCACTTCTCTGCCAGTCTCCACATCTCCACCCCACCTACCCATTTGGATGAGTGTGGCTTCTTTAAATCCTTGGTTATAGGAGTGCCATACAGTTTTATTTTCTGACAGTACTTAGAGTGATTTGTTTTGAGGTTTACTTGTAATTCTCTCTGTGTTTGTGTGAGGAGACAGAGCGTGTCTACCTATGCCTTCACCTTGACTAGAAGTAGGTAAAATTTTGAAGCCAGATTTAATCTTACTCTAGAAGGTAGAGGGTAGAACCTGAAAACTCATGGAGTTATTGATATAAATTTAGCACTGTTTTTGTTCCTTGATAAAATGGCCTAAAGAGTTGAGCTCTAATAATAACTATAAAAATAAAACAAACTGATTTTCTATGCTTTCCTTTATTTAATCCTATAAATACAATGTTTAGAAAAATTATCTTAATAAATTTTAACAAAAAAGAAACTGAGCATCAGAGAGCATAACGGAGGTAATAGACATGGCAGTTGTAAATGATAAAGGATGGATTTGAAACCAAATAGATTTAGAAACAGAATTCTTATTTTCTGATTCTTTATTAATACTTCTCCATTTTGCAAACTTTACTGTATCAGAAATTGTAAGCTTAGTCCTGGCAATTTAACATTTTAAACAAAATACTGTAATGTTATACAATGCAGTTATAAAAACAGCAGAGTAACTGAGAATATTTATTGTAGAAGAATTTAATTTTTGAAATTCATAGAAATGATACTCTTTTTTAATTATAAAATAATATATGCTTATATAAAAACTCACAATCATTTAGAAAATTATAAAAAGTTAGACATTCCAAACACCACATACTTCTAAAAATTTCCTTGTTAATTGATGTTGTGGATTCATCCAAAAAAGTTTTATGCACAGCTATATTTTTGATATATCAATCAAATAGACATACTCTTTTGGATATTTTTATGTAGCATAATAGAGTACCTTAAAATATATTTTCTAAATTAAAATATGTAAATTAACATAACTGCATATATATATTTCTACTACAAAGAATACTGCCTTCAAAATTATTCTTTATGGGTTTACATGGAAGTGTGATTATGAAGAAACTCCTTAAGGTAGAATTGTTGGGTCAAAGGACATGCGTGCTCTCAATTTTGATAGTAGTTGCAAAGTACACTCTAAATATGTTTAAATTTCTCTCCATAGTATTTGATACTGTTTCTTCCTTAGACTATGGAATTTATATAAACAATATTTCATTGATTTAATATGAATTTAATTGTATGCCAAGTTCACCATCTTTTCATATAGTTTTGGCCATTTGTTCTTTTTTCCCCACATATAAAGTACGTGTTTGCAGACCTTAAACATACCTGCCCCATCCTGTTTATTTAAAATGATTATATTTCATATTGATTAGTGAGTTTTCTATAATGTATAAAATGAGCTTTACTTGTACATTATTTGTTACAACTACATCCCTTGGTTTTCCTTAAGCACCGTGAAAATGAAATAATTTAGTTTTATTTATTCATACATTTAAAAATAATTGTCTACTTAAAAAAATATTTATTCAGTAGTTTAAGTCCAGAGATGTTCTTATCTTCCTGAAATGTTATTAAAAGAAAAATATATCCTTCTGGTAATTTTATGACTCATGCTTCAACCTCTGCTCAATCTGTGCCTACTTCTGCAACTCTTATTAAACATAGTAGTGGAAGTTCTAGACACAATATTAGACAAGGAAAATAAATTAAAAATCATCCAAAATGGAAAGAAAAAAGTAACTCTTACTATTTGCAGATGACATAATACTATATACAGAAAACTCTGGAAACTTCAAAAATAAAACTCTTAGAACTATTAAATGAATTCAGTAAAGCTGCAGGATACAAAATAATATACAGAAATGTGCTGTATTTCTATAGACTAATTATGAGCTATCAGAAGAGAAATGAAGAAAATGATCCCACTTATAGAGTTATATCAAAAAGAATAAAATGGCTAGAAATAATTTTAACCTACAGTTAACCTAGAGTACAGGTGAAAAACCCTGAACTCTGATAACTATAAGATATTGGTAAAAGAAACTGAAGATGATACAAACAAATGGAAAGGTATACTGTGCTCACAGATTTGAAGAATTACTATTGTTAAAATGTCCATGTGATACAAAGCAGTAAAGAGATTCAATGTAATTTCCATCAAAATACCAATCAGAAATAGGACAAAGAATTCTAAAATTTGCATGGAATCACAAAAGGCCTAGAATAGCTAAAGTAATCTTGAGAAAGAAGAATGAAGGTGGAAACATCTTGCTCCTTGATTTCAAACTATACTTCAAAGCTATAGTAATAAAAACAGTATCATACTGGTATAAAAATAGACACGTGGGGGGGGGGGGAATCCCTGAAGTTTATTTATTAAAAAATTGTGTATCCATTCGTACATGTTTAAACTTCATTCACCTTTTAGTACGATTCATTTGATGCAATACACCTGTTACACCATAACAAGATGTTTTTCCACTGCTCAAAACAGTTTTTGAACTTGTTGATTTTGATAACTTTCAGTGCTTCTACCATTCTTTCTTTTACCTCTTCCACATCAGCAAAATGTTTCCCTTTGCGGACATTTTTCATCCAGGGAAATAAAAAAAAAGTTGCCTGTGGCAAGATTGAGTGAACAGGGAGGGCGTGGCATGGGGGTCATGCCATTTTTGCTCAAAAACTGCTGAATACTCTGTGCTGTGTGGGCCCGTGCACTCGTACATCACCCATCATAAAGTAGACAAACGTGTTGAAAGAGACTTTAAAAAAAAATTCACTGAAGCTGAACACAGCCTCTCGCAACAATGCCAGTTGGTACACTAATACAGTTGGGTTCCTAGAACACTCACCTAGTGGGGGAAGCCTGTACTACAAGGGGTCCACCCTCCAGAATATAATTCTGTTTTGGGGAGGGTTCCCCCTCATAGACCAATGGAATAGAATAGAGGACCCAGAAATAAACCATGGTCAATTAATTCATGACAGAGGAGACAAAAATATACAACGGGGAAAAGTCTCTTCAGTAAATAAATGGTGCTGAGAAACTGAACACATAAATGCAAAAGAGTGAAATGGGACCAAATCTTATACCATATAAAAAATAAATTTAAACTAAATTAAAGATTTGAGTGTAAGACTTAAAACCCTAAAATTTCTAGAAGAATATATAGGCAGTAAGCTCTTTCACATCATGATATTGTTCATTATAATTGCACCATAATATTTCACATAATATTGCTCATCAGCAATATTTTTTGGACACCACTCTACCAGACACACTCACAATGGAGTATCACTCAGCTAGAAACAAAAACAAAATATTGCCATTTGTGATAACATTGGTGGACCTAGAGGGTATTATGCTAAGTTAAATAAGTCAGTCAGAGTAAGGCAGGTGCCGTGTGATTTTACGTGTTGACATGTGGAATCCAAAAACAAAAGAAAATCAGACTCAGATACAGAAAACAAGCTGGTATTTACTAGACAGGGAATGGACAAGGGAGGATGAGTGAAACAGAGGAGGGCGATAAGAAGTGCAAAATTTCATACTTACCTGGCAGGGGCGATACCATGATCGTGACGGTGGTTTTCCCAGGGCGAGGCTTATCCATTGCAATCCAGACATGCGGACCCCTGCGGTTTCCCCAAGTGTGGGAAACCTGACTGCATAATTTGTGGTAGTGGGGACTGCATTGATGCTCTCCCCAGGCATAAAGAGAGTACAAAATACCAGGCATAAAACAAATGTGATGGGGTTTAATATATAGCATAGGGAATATAGTCAATAATACTGTAATAACTTTGTATGGTAACAGAAGATAACTGGACTTATTGTGTGGATCATTTCAAAATGTACATATATAAATGTCAAATCACTGTGATGTGCACCTAAAACTAATAGAATATTGTATGTCAATTATATCTCAATAAAAATAAATAATAATATATGATAATCATGATACATGCATAGGGTGAGGTTTAGTTTGTCACGTGTAGCATGCCTAGTCTTTGTAGATGAACTCTGACTTAAAGTTTCTTCTATCGGAGTACCTCTCCTGCCTCCTAATAACTAATACCACTTCCTCCCCCAATACTATAGATTTCCAGCACTATTAATTAATTCTATTTGGAACTTTATATTAGCAGAATTATCATGAGACACAATTTTTTTCTATTTGACTTTTCATGTACATTTTGTGGGTAAGGTCCGTTTATGTTGTTGTATTTAACAACAGTTTAATTTTATTACTGGATACTATTCTATTGTATGAATATGCCACAGTTTTTTAATACAATTCTACTGTTGATAGAAACTGGCTTGTTTTCAGTTGAGGTTAGTACAAACAATGCTGCTACAGATTTCATGTACACAATTTGTGGTAATAAAATGTATACATTTTTTCTGAGTCTATATTAGAAATCTGGGTCACGGTAATTATGTTTATTTCAGACTTCGTAGACATTGCTGAATGGTCTTTCAACATGGATGCAAAACTCACACTCCTACTAGTGGTTTGGGAGAGTTCCATGTTCTCCCCATCATTGCCAACACGATATCTTATTCTCTCAGCCATTCTGATGCTGAGCAGTGCAATGTTCTTTTTAAAAAATACTTTTATTGTTTTTGTTTGTTTATTTGTTTGTCTTATTTTCCAGCAAGGAGACCTCTTTTATTGCTTGTCAGGATGAATGACCAGAATAGGTCAGGCAGGAGCAGTTGGGGACCTGCCCTTGACAATAAAGGTCCCTTCTGCAGATGTGGTCCACATCACCAAACAAAAGCTGTCTTCAGGCAGCAAGGGCAGACCTGATTCATTGAGGGGGCTGCCTTGTGTTATAGGGGAGTGCGGTGCAGGTAGAAGATAAAGACCATGTGGTCAGTAGAGCAGGTAGCAAGGGAAGCCACAGGGAGGTCAGAAAATGCAGGAAGTACCTCCAGGAGTAGGTGAGGGTGTGGAAGATGCAGCCAGCACAGCCCCAACCCTGCATCGAATATGCCTGCTGAGAGCAGAGAGCCACTTGCACTGCCCTGGGCTGGTGCCTAACCAGTACACAACCCTCCAACTGCAGTATAACTGTGGTTTTAATTTCGATTTATATAATAACCAATAAAGGTGAACATATTTTTCTAACATTTATTGACCATTAGGTTATACTTTTTTTGAAATGACTATTCAAGGTGATTTGTCTTTTGGACTTTTCTTTTTGTTTTTTAGATTGATCAATTTTTAAGTGTAATCTTATCAGTGTCTTTGGTCATATGAATTCCAAATATTTTTCTCCTCCTCATGTCTTACCTTTTCACTTTTCTAATGATGGCTTTGGTGAGTTAAAATTCTTAATTTTTAATGTATTCTCACTTATTTTTTATGGCTAATTTTTATGTCCTATTTAAGAATTCATTACTTATTCTTGGAGTCATCACATTACTTTCCTATTCTTATCAATTAGTATTATGCATTTCTCTCAGGAGTCTGCTCCTTTGAGTCCTATATTATGCACTTCTAATGAAAGATTTTTTAAGAAAGAAAGAGCTAAGTAATAATAAAAAAGATTACTAATAAAATTTGGTACAATTAACCAATTAAATTTTCTGCATAAATATAAAAAGTTACTTGATGTTAATATAATTTTTAGTAATAAAGGAATGGTGATAGAAAAAGATAAAAAATGTATATGATGAGTTGATCTATAAAAAGGTGACATTTTGGCATTTTTTAATCAATGGGGATAAAATAAATTAAACAAATTATTTAATAAAGTGTGCTTCTATATTGAGAGAGCATTAGAGGAAAATAGTTCCATCTCCTACTTTATTTCTTTTACCGAATATGAAAAGTAATCATCCAGTTGGATGTGCCAAAGTTCACAATTTTATTATATAACTCACTCAGGGGAAATTACTCTAACTTTATACTTTTTTGTTATCTAAAATGGCAATTAAGCTATTTCTTTATAAGCTTCTCTCCTGAAAAAATTAGCACCATTTTAATACCCATTCATAATTCACTAACTGGTATGAAATGTGGTCTCATTGATCGTCCTTATTTTTTCCTTTCCCCACTGAGTGTTTTTCTTATTCATCTCTTGCAAGGCTCCTCACCTTCATAATACTGGAAAGTACACATTTAAATGCACTCAGTTGTTTGGAGCTAGAAAAAATGCTGGTATATGCATATACACATGTAAGCATATAGTATTTCAGCATGGTTTATATCACTTTTTAGGTGTGGCAGGCTGGCAGAAAGATGAACTTGATGTTTTTGTGACTGTATGCCTGTCTGGAATAGTCCCATCACCTGGAAATGTCTGGCAGGGATTCAAGCTAAAGGCTCAGGTGATTTAACTTAATTCAGTCCCTTTTCCTCACTCATCATTGTAATATGATGACATGCTAGGTTTTCAGGAAGACTTCCTTTGGGAAGATGGAGAGGTCATAAATTATAAGAATGCCTCTGCCATTTCCTTAAGAGCCTTTTCCCCATCCCAGAGAACAGAGTACCTTCTTGTCCTTTCCGCAAATCTAATAAATGTGTGCCACCAGAAGGGCCATAAAGAGCTGACCCTTAGCGCTCTCAGACTCGTTTAGAAATTGCTCACATAGGAAGTTTAAAAGCAGGAAGCACAGCCCAGTCTGTGGTCTACCTATCCTCTATAAAAACACAAGCTGCAGTGCCTGTTTCAAAGCTGGGCAACTGCAGCTGACCTTGGAATACTTTTTAGTACAATGAGGTGGTTTCTTTTTACATCCAAGACTGGTGGAAAGAGCATTTGTTACAGCCAGATAAGAAGTAATCCTCTGGCTATAATTCATATGGATTTGAAAAGTATGATTACCCTGGAAGGAAAATGAATCCTTTGACTGTTTTCTCCTGCCACCACAACAGCCCTAAGTGTAATTACCACAGCATGTTGCCTAATTTTCCATCTGCATATTATTTGAAAAGAGTAAAACTTCTGGTAATGTAATATGCAAATGAGTGAAAACAGAATTTGTGGCTTTCCTTCCTGCCTACACACAGTTAGGTTTTTCTTCTTTCTAATATATAGGTGAAATCTGTTTGCTTGCTGCATAAGCTGTTTCAGTGTGAGTTCTGGAGTGCAGAGTCAGGCTGCTGAGCAAACTTTGAAGAATATATTAGATGTAAAACATCAGGAAACAGCATTTAGGAGAGATAAAGTGAATGGCAGCTTATAAGCTATTCTGTCACAACAGTCAAAGACTCTTACTTTTTAGACAAGTGACTGGGGAAAAAATTCTCTGCTTCTGTCAATTTAGGTTACAGTACAAGAAGAAGATGATTGTCTTAGTCATTTTCATCCCCTCAAGAACTTGGAGGGGATGGAGGGAGAGCAAAGAGGGTAGGATTCTTGCTCCAATATCGAAGTCTTTAACCAGATCCATTGCTCTCTTCTCTCTTTTGTATATTAAAAACATAACTGTCATGTAGGAAAAGGTTCTCTTTCTTTTTAAAATCTGAAAACATTACTGAAATTACAACTAACTCACAGTACAAACAAAAAGGCAGTGGTTCAACCAGTATTAGGCTTTTAAAAAAAATACTGATCTCAGAATGTGAGCGTGAACTGTGTGACATGCACCACCCATTAATTAAGTTAATGACATGGATGGAGGGAAAATAGCCACCAACATAATATAATCTGTAAGCTTAGTTAGGGATACAATTATGATTAAATTGAAACTCTTCTTGAAAGCGGCAATTTACCTGATGTGACAAATAATTCTCAATGAAGAGAAAAGAAGTTGAATTCTAGTCATGTCTTTGTATCTTCCTGTTTTTGAGAAACATAATATAATTGGCAGTTTGGATAATAATCAGTGATACATATTTGATAAATTATTTTCTTATGAATGATCATTCTAAAGTCTACTAGTAATATTATTAAATCATATAGGAAAGATATAAATTGAATATTACATGTTTAGAAATAGAATTCCATTGAGTAGGAAGATGCTGGTAACCTAACTGTGCTGCACTCCCATAATCAGCATCAAATTTCAGGATTTTTATTTTAGTTCTGGATATAGCTTGTTATATCAGACAAATCATGTGCCAAATGTTCTACTGCCTGTGTGAAGACTTTGCTTATGAGAGAACACTCTGGCTCACTGGAAATGTGACAAAATTTTGCTATTTCTGCAAAGTCTTCAGTAACTGATGTTCAGTGTTGCATAATTGTACTGTATACATGACCTAAATTAGTATGCAGTACTATGGCAAGAGGTTTAATTAGTGTAAAAAAAATTAGATTTATTGTCATGAACTCACATTTATTGTTTTTAATTTGGGGAAATGTGATTTTGACTTGAGAAATAACTGGAGATTAGAAAGCATTGGCATTAACTATATTACAGCAGAAAATTTGTTAGCTTGTTTGCTCAATTTACTCAGATACTGCTGATCTTCTTTTTTTTTTCCTAGGAAGCAGCCCAGTAGATTTTTTTCCTTAAGAATCCAGTTAGTTCTGCAACTCTGTGAAAGCCATCTGAACTTAATTGACTATATTGAGAAAACAGAGAAGACTAACACCTCCTTGCCCAGTCTTCCTACTCCAGTTTTTTTCCTTTTACAGAAATGCCAATAAGTCACTGGGGAAACATGGTGGTCTCTAAGGAGCCAGGACTATGTCACAGAATATAATTAATGGCTAGATCTAGGGATTCAGGAGTCCTGGCTCATCTGTCT